ATCCAGTCTCAATCTCCTCACGGGATAAAAATAAATAGTAATTGGTAGTGATGATAAATGATGAAAATGATATTATTTGAATTATTAAAAGTAATATCATTATATAACCCCTCTTTCCTTCCACATATAGTATTTGAAACAATATTTTTTTACTATGAACTTAGTGCTCTGTGAATAATAGGCTTCTGTTGAATAAAGAACCCCTTCTCCAACATACTTCCCCTTTATTCATTTTTATAACTTTGAAAAAAATAGTAGAATATGGTGAACACTAGATGGAGCAACACTCCAAGTAGAGTAATCATTCCTAACCAAGAACTTTCTAGTACAGCTTAAAAATAAATCATGTCTTGTATATTTTGAAATAGTTAGAAGAGAATAATTTGAATATTTCTAGCATAAAAACAAATATTTATGGTGACAGATATCCCAATTACACTGATTTGATCTTTACGAATTAAATAAGTGTATTAAATTATCACATGTAACCCCAAAATATGTATATCTATTATACACTCATTTTAAAAGTTAAAAAAATAAATGTCTAGAAAAGTAATCACTCATAATTATAGTCACTTGGACACATTTTGCAAGTAAACATAAATGCCTTTGAATATCTCAGGGTTATGGATAGGAGAAAACAGGCAATACAAACATTTGGATATACCAGTGTTATACGTGCTATTATAGGCTGAATTATGCTCCCTCAAAATTCATATGCTGAAGTCCTAACCCCTGGTACCTCAGCATGTGACTATATTTGGAGACAGGGTCTTTAAAGAGGCAATCAAGCTAAAATGAAGTCATTAGGATGGACTCTACTCCAGTATGACTGATGGCCTTATAAGAAGAGGAAATTTGGACATGCACATATAGAGGAAAGAAAAGGTGAAGCTATAGGAAGAAGATAACCATCTACAAGTCAAAGAGACAGGCCTGGAACAAATCCTTCCCTCATGGCCCTTAGAAGAAACCAACCCTGCTGATACCTTGGCCTTGGACTTATAGCATGCAGAACTGTAAGAAAAATTAATTTCTCTTGTTTAAGCCACTCAGTCTATGGTACTTTGCTATGGAAACAAAGTACTCTGGTACTTTGTTAAGGAAACCCTAGCAAATTAATACATGTGGAAAGGAATACTAGAATGTAAGAGCCATGAGGATAGGAATTTTCGTCTTTTTCGTTCATGGATGTATCCCAAACTCCAAGAACAATGCCTGACACATAGTTGGTGCTCAATAAATATTTTTTGAGTGAACTAATAAATAAAGCAGATTAATATGATTCTTCCCATAGATAGCTCTATTAAATGCCACCAATGTTAGAGTAATGCTTTTTACTTTCTTAAGACCTGAGGATCTGGGCTCCCATTGTCTTACTTGGTGTTGTGGTATAACTGGTCTGCTGCCACAGCCCAAATGTATAAAATCCTCTGGTGAAACTCTTGTGATGATTCAAATCCCGGGGAAATATCCTGAAGAAGAGAAGAGCTAAAAAGACATAAAAAAACAAAAACACCTTGCTGTAATGCAATTAATGTGAATTAATCCATGTAGAGAGACAGTTCAAATTTCTTAGTCCCATCCTGGGGAAAATGCCACAAATGTAACTTACATATGTAACTTACTGGTATTACTGTTCCCTCAAGGTATTTGGTTAGCTGGCCTCACTAAAGGCATTGAGAACAGCCTGGATTAGCAATTTAGAGGAAAAAAATAAATGAAGACTTTTCTGTTATTATTGAAGCATTTCTGTGGACACAAGAAAAGACTAATTAAATTTCCTTCTGACTTATTCAATTAAGGATTCATGGTGCATATCTGTCTTTAACCTGATCTCCATGTCTTAATGTTATAACTAATACTATCAATCAATACTTAATTTGGTACCCTGAATATGTTAGGCAAATAACAGTAAAAATAAAAGAAATATGGAATATATACTCTGATTTTAACTACATACAAATATCCTTTAAATAATAACTAGAGGAAAAATTCACCAAAATTATAATAGTAGTTTTGTTAGAGGTGATGAGATTATAAGAAATTCTCTCTTCAAAGTATTCATAATTTTATATAATAAGTCTCCATTTTTAAAGCAAAAAGTTCTAAAAAAAATCATTCTAACTTCTAATCAAATTTAGGATTATATTAGGATTAAAAATCCCCCACAAGGAGAGAGTGATATGCTAATATTTATTTTTAATGTACATTTAATCAATATATCTATACAGACTGCGGATGAGAAAGCCAGAATAACAACTGAAAGTCAGTGTATCTGAATCAAAATTGGAAATTCTCACCTATTCTGAAAGCAATTTAAAAACTAAATCAAAGCTTGTTCTTCGTTTGGGACCTGGAATTAGCTCTAGAACTGATGCAATCTGAAACCAGAGCCAACAAGTGTTTACCAAAGTCTTTGTCCCAAAGGAGAAGCTTCTTTTCTAATTCTCCAGAAGTGACGCTGTTGGGATTGCCTTGAGACTTCAGCTAAGGAGCTGGTAGCACAGACATTAAATTCATTTCAAAGTTTCATTTTCCTTTCCAGCAAAAATGAAACTTAAAATCTTTTTCACAATATGCAATTTGTAATCAAGCCCTCCTCTACTGAAGAGTTTAATACACTTCTTGTGCATTTGCCCCTCTTTCCTGGGAACCACAGCATTAACAGGAAATTCATGCCTCAGGGGCTTACTTGTTGCAGAATGGAAAAAATGAAGCTGTGGAATTTCTCAAGGATGATTTAGAGAGCAGAGATCATTAAATTACTGCCATGCCCTCCTTTTCTTCTTCAGAAGGTTAATAAACAAAATGACTGCACAAGCTACACTCCACCCTAGGAATATAAACAATTCTTTGACAGGATTTGGCTGGGAGTCAACTTGAGAGCTCTGAATCAGGTGATTTTTTTTTTGAGACAGAGTCTGGCTCTGTCGCCCTGGCTAGAGTGCCATGGCGTCAGCCTAGCTCACAGCAACCTCAAACTCCTGGGCTCAAGTGATCCTCCTGCCTCAGCCTCCCGAGTAGCT